CTAAAGACCTTAGTTTTTAAAAGGGCCCAACTCTATTTTCTACATTTGGGTTCTGTGAGATTCCACTGTATTCTTTCAATTGTTCCATTTATATTTGAGCTAATTTGAATGGTTCCCTTTTCCTTGCAACCAAATGGTCTCTAATTATTGACAGTTATGTACTCATTGCCTTGGTGGGATGGCCAGAGGTGAAGTAGCTGTGGATCAGGGAAGTCCCAGGGCTCTCCATGCAGAGGCCTCATGCCCCAGGAGGACAGTTGAAGTGGAAGTGGGTGACAGCCTGGGGGTTTCGGGGCTCTCCATGTAGGGGGCACCCTGGCAGGACAATTAAAGCTGAAGTGGGTGCAAGTTGAGATTCCAGGGTGCTTTCTGCAGAGGGTGACCTAGTAGGGCAGCTGGAGCCCAGCTGGAATCCAAAGCTGGGGGTCCCTGGGCTTGCTATGTAGGGGGTGCTCTAGCAGGGTGGCTGGAGTTGGGATGAGGGCCTGGGGTTTCTGGGGCACTTCGTGCAGTGAGCACCATGACAGGGTGGGAAGAGTCAAAGCGGTGTGAGCCTGGACTGTTCTGGGATTATTTGCACCTGTGTCACCTTGGCAAGACACCTAGCTGTAGTAAGAACTGACCAGGGATGTCCCAGTGTGTGTCATACTGAGACTGGCTTGGTGGGAAGACTTTGACTGGTCTGGGCTAAGGGCCCAGGGCCCACTAGGATGCCTCAACCTTGCTTTGGCCTGCACATCAAGGTGAAGGGGAAACATAAACTATTATGTTCTCTGGCCCCTCTGACCCAGAGAGTTCGAGCAGCTCCTCTGTTTTTTGGCTCTGTTCTAGGGCTGTTTCTTTTATATTCTAGTTGCTATTTTAAACCATGGCTTTTTTTTTTCTGTGCCCTAAGGCAGACAAATTTGTTCCTGGTCTCTCAGTATTATCCCTCTTCACTGCAATTCCTAGTGTAGGAGTAGTGTTTCCCTTCCTTATCATGTCTCTGTTTCTTTTGTTGTTCTGTATGTGGTCTTTTTGTATAGAAGCTGTTCAGTCAGGCCTCAGTTCTTCTTCAGGCAGGCTTCAGTTCTTATTCTATATAATATCTACTCTATAAATAGGTATAGATTTGGTATGTCAGTGGAGAAGGTGAATTCAAGGTCTATATCAAATGATCCCTGTAAGACAGCATCCCAGGGCCTTGTTGATGATCCCTCTTTTCTACTCCATAACAGCATCTGTGGAACAGAAACAAATGGCCTTGGGTTCACATTTCAGCAAGGCTAGTTCTTGCAACACAAGATTGTACTACAAGCATGGATCTATTCTCAACTCAAGACTTCTTCTTATGGCAAGATAACCCCTAATAAGCAAGTCATCCCTGGAAAGCTTCAAAGGATAAGTCCAAGGTGAAGAGCACTTATTAAATAGCTGAGTTAAAAAAAAAAAATAGAAATATGCTCTGGTTTTGAGTAAAATGTGTTCTAAACATTCTTATATTCTGTGGGAAATAAATTATTTCAACCAAAAATGATTCAAAACTATATATTTCTGAATAATCAAAAGGTCTCTAAGGTTTTTCATCTGAATTTCCATAAATGGTAAATATTTGAGAAAGATCATATGAAGTACCCATAAAAGTTTCAAGAATTTAATTTAAAATTAAAAGTAAAATGCAAGAAAACAACAACAAAAAAAAGAAAATCAAATGCTTTAGTCTCAGAATAAAAAGCCTGTGAATAGTTTCCCTGGGAACTGAAAGCCCTGTGAGCCTCTCAGAGGTGCTGCATTGATTCCTAGCTGTTAGGTGGGGGAATGCCATTTTACAAATGCAAAGTATATTAGACAAACATTTACTGGCAAGTTTCCAGAAAAAAGCACCCCTTGCATGGAGGAAATTCAACATAGCTGAGATTACTGTTGAAAATAAGGAGTACTTTTTACAGGAGGAAAAAACCTTGCCTGTGCCACCCACATTCCAAACCATGCTGTTGATTTCATAAAGGGTTTGTTTACTGGTTCAATTGTGACCTGATTTAGGCCCCTGAGGATTGCCTGTTGGCAATTCTAGTTGACAATTCAATTAAAAATTTTTTAATGTTTATTTATTTTTGAGAGACAGAGAGAGACAAAGCTTGAGTGAGGGAAGGGCAGAGAAAGAGAGAGGGAGAGAGAGGGAATGCCAAGCAGGCTCCATGCTGTCAGCACAGATCCCAACATGGAGCTCGAAGTCACAAACTGTGAGATCATGATCTGAGCTGAAGCCAAGAGTTGGACGTTAACTAACTGAGCCACCCAGTGCTCCACAAATTTAATTTTAGTTCAGAGGTGATTTAAATAAAAGCCAATTGTTTAGGTTGTCAGTACTATGAAAACATATAGAAGGAAACACACATGTACACAATATTCCAATAGGAAGACATTACTACATTTTCACAGAGTTTATTTAAAAGTAATTTTTCTGCTCAAAATTTCTTCTTCTAAAGACTCAAAATAATTTCACAGCACACCTAGTGAACAATTTTTTTTAAGAAATTTGAGATGGAGATCTTGGAGATCAGAGCAGATGGGAAGTAAAAGACCATTCAATAAAACAATTTTTTTCTTAAAATGTTAAGGAATCTCTTTGGAGGCTCTAAAAGAAGCAGTTTGGTTTCCCATCAAATTTGAAATGCTGAGTAGATGTATTAGTTTTGCACTTTTGGAGAACTTGGTGGGATGGAAGAACACAGTGGCATTTGGGGTTTGGCAAAACCTCTCAAATTATTTTTCAAACACTTTTGGTTTGGCAAAGGCACATTGGATTTTGCCAAATGTCTTTTTCCCTACTTTGGAACTCAAGTGTACTTCAAGGAAAATTTAATCCATATGCTTCTGATTTACTTACTCTTAAGTCATCAAATTATTATCTTGAAACAATTGATTAATGCTCAAGAAAATCTTCTTAACTATTTAATAAAATTGTTATAAAGCCTCTTTGCACTCCATTCCTTCTCCTTTGCCCTGAATGTTGAAGTCATCTGATGTCAGCATTAAATCAAGCCAAAAGTCTGGAAAATTTACTTTGTGCTTTCTATTTAGAGTCCTGTGAGTATGCAGTGGTTATAAGATTAGCCAGAAATATAGCCTATTGTTAGCAGATGATATGATTACAGGGTCATACAATTTTTGAGTTTAATCTTTTCTCCAGTACAAGAGTTCCATTTTCCATCCTTCTGAGCAATCAATCATGCACCTTCCATATCAACACACAGCAGGAAGTGGGCCCTTCCATTATTGGATAACTCTAAATGTAGGTTTTTCTTTAACTTGTGATTAAAGTTCACAGTAGGTAAAGTGGTTATTATTCAGGGAGATTATGCAATGGTTACCTGGGAAATGTCAGCCTTCCCTGGTGTTACGTCTCTAGGCTTATGGTTAGGCTCTTTTGCTGGTGTGGGAGTCATAGTGGCACTGCAGGTCCTCAGTGCTGTGAACTGATGTCATTTATGCATCCAAATCTACTTTTTATTCCTATCTTTTTAGCTCAAAGATACAAAGCCTACCCCCAACCTTGTGTAGCCAAAAGACTCACTCATTCCTTCAGCGTTTACTGACTACTACTCTGATTAGCAAATGAAAGGTATTGAAGCCAAAAAGACAGGAAGAAGTAAAATGGATATTGAATGCATATATCAGGTTATGTGATGTTCTGAGCTTAAATGGTAAAGTGAGATTGGTCAGTGCTATGTGGTGGAAGTGCTTTCTGGTGATGTCTGGCTAAGCAGAGGCAGAGAATGGCCATAGTAAGAATCCCTTCATAAGAGAGGTATCAAGATTATGATGATTGCATGTTCTCAACTGACCCAGAAGCTTCTAGGAAGCATAAAGTCCTTGCACTATATATGGCAATGACCCACAAGAAAGTGACTTTTGTGTAGGGGCATAATTGAGAGTTGTAGGGAGACTGACTTGAGGTGCGGACAGCAGTCTAATTTAGGGGCTGGCACAGGGTGTGGGGCAGTGAATGGATAACCTAGGTAAAGAACACCAGGACATGCAGCTGATTCACATCCTAGTTATGCAGAAGAGATAGTTTCAGTTTTGCTGTATGCTTGCCTTGAGCATACAGTTCTTAAATAAAGCTGTCTTCATGTTTGTGTTTAAGAGTTTCCTATTACCTCCATAATGCCCAGATATATGGACCAAACACTATGCTGTAGGGTCTTGGTGATAAAAACTATGTGCCAGGAGTGTATATTTTTATAATTTTCCTTATAACATTCAAGGAAGAGATGATATAATAAGTTCTATGATAGGACAGAGTATAAAGGGTGCTTCTGGCAGAGGCAATTGAGATTACTGAGTAGATGTAGATGATAAGGGACAGAGAAAAGCCAAAAGTACCCCTTGAGTTTCTGTAACTGAGGTAGTGATGGTTCCACTTACTGTAAGGGGTAATTCAGTAAAAGGGTACATTTCAGGGGGAAGGTAGTGAGTTCAATTGTGGACATCCTATGTCTATGGAACAGCCAAATGGAAACATCCAGATATAGGTCTATAGTTCAGAAAACAGACATAAATCAGGGAATTGTCAAAATATGGGACACTTTTTGATTATTGAAGCAAATGTCCTTTTTCTGAAAGTATATATACAGTGGAAAGAGGGGTAAAGACAGAATCCAATAGAAGGGCTTCCTGTCTGATGTAAAACGGTACTGATTTCCATGAGATAATAATCCCCTCAAATTTAGAGAAGCTGATTGGGATTAGCAGTGTCCAGAGTCCCCGGGATGTTTACATCCAGATGTTGTAGCCATTCAGTGGAATGTTTGGCCATACTATTTCTAGTAATTTATATTGCATTCCTTGAAGTTGGCTAACGTGATAAGAGTCTTCTGTCAGTTTCATTGTTGCAAAACTCAAAATATAGTCAAGGATATAATCCACCATCTCAACACTTACTTTACTTTGAACTTCTTTTTTTTTTTTTTCTAGAATGGAAGTGGCCAACTGTGGTGTTCCTGGGGGAACTGATGGTCCAGGTATCCAAGAAGCACTGGGTGCGGCCAGTTGAGTGAGATGGAAGGTAGGAAGGTGGTAGGAAAGGCAGGAAGAGTAGGTGCAATTCAGGTAGTGGTTTTACATCTTTGATTTCACATAAAATCAATAAATTTGTCAGTTTGTGGTCAGTGTGGAATCCAGACTACCTATAATACCGCAAGTACTTCAGATGGGAATCACCATTTTGAAATCTTTGATATGAAAAAGTTCAATGAAATTAGAAATTTATATTTTCACAAGAAATGTCAACATTACATTTGTCAATGAAAGAAAAGAAAGAGCTGTTAGACTCAGGAAATATAATGTCAATGCTTGTAAACATTTGAATATTTGCCAAAATTAAGGAAATATTTTTATTATCTATATGTGACAACAAAGATTTTTGTTGATTGTGACTATCAGGAATATGAAGAAATCATCACTATAAAGTGTTGACAAGTAATTGTGCGTAGCATTTCAAAATTTAAAAATTAATATTTTTGAATTTTAAACAAATTCAGTTCTACTTTAATACCTCTTCTAGTTATTTTTATTTTATTTTCTTATAAATTATGCAATGTATAGAGAAGGCAATTGATTTTTTTCACAAATACCATTTAGACACTTCCAATCAGTTTCCAATTTATCCTAGTATGTTATATAAATAGTTTTATTATCCATGTGGTTTATTAGGTAAAAAAGATTAGAAGGCACTGATCTGTGGATACCAACATTTAAGAGGAGAGTAGAAAAAGAGTAGCTCCTGAAGGAAGTTGACAAAGATTAACTAGAGAGTAGGTATCAGATAAGCAGAAAGTAACATCACGGAAATCAAGGGAGTAAGAGGATATGAATAACAGTATCATAAAGCATGGAGACATTGGATAAAATGACTCTGACTACCCTTCTCTACTTAGCAAAGAGGGGATTATTGATGATTTTAATGAGAACAGTGTCAATGGGGTTCCCATGGCAGATTGTGGTTTGCAACAGGTTAAGGAGTAGAGAGAAGTTAGGATGTGGAGGTGATAAATATATATCTACTCTTTCAGGATGCTCTACTTTGAAGGAATGGAAAAGATCGCAAACAGAGTGAGAACCATTAAAATTGATAAAAATTGAAATGTTTTCCTCACAGAACTGGAAAAGAGAATACATTCATGAGTTGACATAACACAACCAGTTGAGAGAATTTATAGTTATAGGAAGAAAGGGGAGATAAATAATGGAGCAGTCTCTTGAGGGAGTAGGAAGAAAGATCAGAGTACAAGGAAATGGGTTAGCCTTAAAGGGACACCCCCTTCTTGGAGCTTATAGGGACAGAGATGAGTATAAGGTTCTGATACCAACATATAACAATGTGGCTACAAATAGTTGAAGGCATATGAACCACATAGTTTTTATTTTTTCTCAGTCTATTAAGAGGTCAAATTAATCTAAGAGAAGAGAGCTTGAGAAGAGTGTTAAAGTCTGAAGTTTGGTGAAACGGACTAAAGACCTTGGTTTTATAATGTTTATAATCTAAAAAGATGGGAGATTTTCTCCAGACATATTTATCACATATGAGAGTGGAGAAGACAGACAAGATTGAGAATTACAGAGTAGCCTCAGGGCAGAAGTGGCTTGGAGAGTGAGAGTGCTGTAAGACTGTTTGAAGAGACAGACCATAGGGTTCACATAACAAGGGATGGAAGTGAAGCTGCTGGATCTCTCCAAGGTAATAGAGGGACTAGGAATGAACTAAGTGTCAGAGTTGTCGAAGAATGAAGGAACAGAAGACAAATTTTGTGCAACGTTTGACAAAGTTAGGGGGCTTTTATTTACAATGAAATGATTCTGTAGATACAAGAGAAAGGCTGGGAGAAATGAAGGGCAATGGAAAGAAGACTCAGGAGAGAGGAAGCACAGGGCAATAAGAGGAGAGATGAGATGATCCCCAAGGCTTGCATTTTAGATAGAGTTATAGGGGTTCTACAGCTGCAGTAACAAGAGGAATCCATGAGGTCAACAGGACTTACTTATCCAAAGAGGATGAAGGCTGGGCTGCAGCTGGGGAAGGGAGGCTGGCCATGGACTCAGGGTTCTCAAAAAAATATGGTGAGGAAGTGTTTAGCTCCATAAGAGGTGGAGGTGGACGTGGGGAAGATGAGGACAATTCAGCCTTAGAGATGGCACTGCTCAGTGGATTACTCATGCTTCAAGTCCTCCAGGATGCCTTCTCTGACACCTATAGGTAGTAAGAAAACATTTTGTCAGAAAGGGACCAGGCAAAAAAATATGACACATCAATTGCTAGATTGCGAAGTAGTTTTGTGTCATCTCAGCTTCACTTTTTGGGAAGCGTTCTGGACAGAAGGCTCATGAATCACAGTCAGCAGGTCAGGCTAGAGCTCTATACAACACTGGGAACGTTGCCACGTGCAAACCCAGTGAAACTCTCAGAGTCCAATCTTTTGCCTCCAGGCCAGTCCAACTAAAACAATTCTGGCTCAAAAGAAAAAGACATGTTACCAACCAACTTTGGGACTTGAAATGGAACTGGAAAAATATCCTCAGAACAGAGGTAGGTCTTGATTCATCCTTTTTTTTCTGAAAGAATTAAGGTTTGATTAAATATTTATTTCTGTCCTCCTAAATCTGCTACAATAGAGACCATATATGATTTTTAATCATATGATTATTTTCAGTTCTGCTGCTATATGTATCATTGATTTTGCCGCACATATCTGAGGTGTTTAAATGAAGAGGAAGTGCTCATTTGTTGGGGAGCGCTATATGAAACATCTTTCCCATAATGGCATTATGAAGTACTTTTAAAAGCTATCAGGCATAAGTAGAACAAAATATAAGTATAATATCTATTTTTAGTTATACATCTTTAAAATATTTTATATAAAAATGGAATTTTGTTTTTGTCACATGCTTTTCTTATTTTCTTTCCAACTGTTGACTGCACTAGGAAAATGATAGGGAGAAAATAAGGAAAGAAACAAAGTAAGTATTTGTGCAATATTATGTATTTAAATAATAGCTCTACTAAATGCTTGAATCCATCTCCTTGACTCCGCCCAGTCTCCTACTCATCATTGTTCTTGTTCCTTTCTTTACATTCCAGAGGGCAGACAGAAAACATACCTGGTGTTTCACGGTAATCTTTTTCTACACACTACGAAAGACAGAGGCCTTCTCCCTGGGAGAATACTCATGTGCACACACACTTACACACACACACACACACACAGACACACATACACAATTTTGAGAAATTCATGCCTTCTGGCTCTATTCACCCCCTTGAATCCCATCCTTCAGCTCCCAAATTAAGTTCCCCTACTCTATCCAATGGGAATTCAGTACAGAATGCCATTTATTGCCTGGGACTATGATAGTGATCTCTGCATCCTTGCAGTGCCTACTGTCTTGCCTGGCATAGAGAAATCATGTTTGATATGCTACACTGTAAGAAAGACATGCCATTTTAATTAAGGGCGCATAGAGAAGAGTTGTTAGGTGAGTGCTGAGGTGAGGTGAAGCTGTTGGAGCAAAGGCAGGGTGATTACAGATTGAAGTTTACTAGTTGTTTTCTCTTAGATCGCAGCCAGCTGACTAGAAAGACTGAAAAAGAAGGAGTCTTTGGTTAAAGAAAGGAGTCCTAAATTTTTGAATCTGGACTCTGCTGATTGCAGGAAAATATTGGATAACCTCAGAAACCAAAGAAGCTTTTGAAGAGTGATGTGGGTAAAAGAAATACTTAAAGGAGTACTGAGACAGAGTAAATTACAGAGGTACCAGTGTGAGGACTACTGTCCTCAAAGTTTTTCAGCTGAAGGTTGGCCTCCTCATGGTTTTATACAGCAAGACAAGGCTTCCAAAGTAGTGGGCTCAGAATAGTTACTGCCTGTATTGTTCCATCCCAAACAATCATTGATTCCACGACCCTGTCCCATATCCCCTGAAGGAACAGAAAACATGCTGCATTGGGGACTTTTCCACCCAGAGTTTTTGACCAGTCACTGTCATTGTCATAGGAAAGCTTTGGCCTGCTTTCTCTGCAGCCAGTCTCAACTGGAGCGGGTATGCTCAGCTCCTGCCAGAAATGAATTCCTTATGTAGATGACTAAAATAAAACTGCTTGTGAAAAGCTAGTTTATACATTAATACAGAGACATAGTTTTAGCTACAATTGTATTTACAGGGAAAAAATAAACAATAGAAGAAATCATCAAATAACACTCTCCTCTTCTTTCTTCCTGACCCAGCTTTCCTTCCCTTTTGTGCTACACCCACAATCTCTTTCTGCACAGTTTATTTGACCAAAGAAGCTGTTTAATCAGCTTGGAATATGTTAGCTGAAAACAAATCTATTTGATCAGGAGAGGAGTGTCAGGAATCCTTTGTCTTTAATCTGAAAAAATGGGGACTAGAATGATGTTTACCACAGAGACAGAAGAAAGACATCATAATTTGATGTCTTCCATCACTTTTCACTTGTGTTCCATTTAAAACAAGGTCAGACCCTGATCCTTACACCAGCTGAAAGCCAAAAATCACTCCAAAATTTGTTTTTGTTTTTGTTTTGCTGCTTCCCAAATATACCCATGATATGTCAATTTAAGAAAACAGAGGGTCAGACCTTCCTATAGACCTTTCCATCTAGGAGAATTTGAAGGAGAAATCTGTTTTGTGACTTTATATGTAGTTAGGGGACACATGATACTGATCTACTGGAGCTTAGAGGAAAATAGCTATAAACTCTCCACCTCAATTTGCTGGATTATTTCATCCTCTGTCATGATATAAATATCTATGACATTAGAGAAAGAAGCTTGATCTGAGATATTATACTCATCAAATATGTGCTCATTATTATTGAGTCACAGATTGATAAAATATGATCTAAATAGTTGTTAGTAATCAGGATTTAGTTTTACTTTGGCTTACTTTTTCCCATCTGGTTTTGGTTTTGTGATTGCCTTTCTGGTCCTGAGCAAATGTAGTAAAAAAAAAAAAAAAAGATTAAGAAAATAAAAACACAATATGATTTGTGCATCTCATCCTTTCCACCCCTCTAAATATAGGAAATCCAGACTGAGTGAGATATTACACTAGAGACTCCTGTATTAAATACCCCAACCAGACATAAAATAACATATTTCATTCTTGAATGCCACATTCGACAGAGAAAAATTATTTCACCCCACCTAGATATTCTGTGAAAATGACATGGAGAGCAAGAAAGAATAAAAGAGAGACAGAGAGAGAGAGAGAGAAATCCAGCAATGAGAAAAAGCACAAAAATGTATTGGTTAGCATGGCCAAGAGATTGGAGCTACATTCTTGGGGTAATCATCAATTTTCTTATCTCAGAGGACTCTCGTTGACACAATGAAAGCAAACACTCTCTGTGCATTCTTGGTTGCCTCCAACTTGAGCCCATGGAATCCATTCCAGGTCTCTTGGTCATGACATGAAAGTAGTAATAGTAATAATGATAGTTCACACACACTATGTGCCAACTGTTGCATCGAGTACATTAAGACATTATCTTTGGTCCTCCCAATAATCCTCTATGATAGCTTGTATTTTTATTATTACAGGTTTTATTGAGGGGGAAATCAAAGCTTGGAGAGGCTAAAAGATTTGCGTAAGGTCGTAGAATTAGTAAGAGTGTAGAACAGGATTGGAAACCATGTTTGTGTGTCAGCAGTTATCCTTTAGCCTAGGTCTCTATAGTCAGAGGAATGTATCTATCAGAAAAAGAAAACTACCTAGAGAGGCTGGAGCTCTCCCTCCTTCTGATTCCCAGTTTGTGCTACACATGTCCCAGCAGCACACTAATCATTGTAGTCCACCTCATCTGTCTTCTTGTCTATCTCGTCCACTAGATGGAGCTCCTTGACAGTGAATCCAGAACTGATAATGCCTGACACCTAGTAGGTACTTTAAACAATGTTGTTGGGTGTAAAATGCTAATAATGATTATATGCTGGAGATTTCTAATAATTAGGACCAGTTGTGCCTAGCTAATTTTGCATTCTTTTCCAGATATTTAATAATTTTGTTTGTAATTGCATACCAACTTTTGAAAAGTAGGCAGGTGCAGTTGAAAATACAATCTGATGCATAATTGCCATTACTATAGTTGGCATTTGCAAATTTAATTCTAATTACAGAATTAGCTGTTGTATTGTGTTGAAATGAAAAGAAAGCGTTTGAAGTTAACACTTTAATAGGAAGTTTATGCATATTTACTAACTTAATTATAGAACTATCATCAAGTAGTTTTTGAATATCTAAGTCACAAATACAATTAGCCTTTTTTTATGGAAAATTTAGTCTTACTTTAATAGAGGCTTGTTTCATTCACAGCATTACATTGTACTAAGCTCAGTCCTCAGATGCCCTCTAGTGGTGATAAATAGTAACTAAAAAAAATAAGTGAAAACAGTGGATTTATCCAGTAGTGGCTTTTTTACAATCAATAACCACATCTGTTCTAATTATTATATAGATCAGATATGATGAAAAAAAGAATTATTTGTCTTTTATTTTTAAGTGTAACATCCTTCTAAAATGTGGTATGAAAAATAATAGTAAGGGGCACCGGGGTGGCTCAGTCGGTTAGGCATCTGACTTCGGTTCAGGTCATGATTTCATGGTTCGTGGGTTCGAGCTCCGCGTAGGGCTCTGTGCTGGCAGCTTAGAGCCTGGAGCCTGTTTCAGGTTCTGTCTCTCTCTCTCTCTCTGACCCTCCTCTACTCACGCTCTCTGTCTCTCTGAAAAGTAAATAAAACATTAAAAAAAAAAAAAAGAAATAGAAAAGGAAAAGAAAGATAGTAGACAAAAAATTAATTTTTTAAATTTAAAAGTCCAGTGTTTTTCCATAATGCCATACTACTTCCTAAGAAGCAGAAGAAGAAAACTCATAGCCATGTGAATAAAATCAACCCTCAGCCTCATGAACAAATATGCTCCAGCCAGCTGATCAAACCAGTAGTTTTTACTAAGAAAAAAAGCTTTCATAATGCTCTGCACATAGTGAGCACTCAATAAATAATTAATTATTTATTTTGTACTCTGTAAACAATCTTCTAATAAATCTTGATTGAGTCTTTTAAAAGTTATACTGGGGAAATATGAATTTCTATCATGGAGAAAATTGTTATTTATCTGCTTTCAATTAATTTATTTCAAAATCATTCCCAGAGGAAATTGTTTCGTTCATATGCTAAAAACAGAAACAACAATGACTATTTTAAAGGTCTACTGATTTAAGTTTCTTGCAATATTGTTGTAAGAATCACTTCTCACAACTTATTAATTTAGACTACTTATGATTCAGAGATACTTATTATTTTTCAACATACTGGAAATTGATACCAACCCTGCTATCTTAAATTTGTATAGGACCAAACTATATTTCAGTAGTCAATACTCAAACTGTATCTGATGACAGTTTCCACTTTGGAGATAGAGAAAGTAGTTTGGAAATACTTAGGAACATACAGATGTAATTCAACATGCCTTTTCCACAAGATGTCACTATGGTACCTATGAAATATA